CATTGATGCTAAACAGAAGACAATTACTCCGAGATGCACCCAAACTTGAAACACTATACATACACACCAGGGGGTAGGTCTCCAATAACCTATGGGCCCCGATCAGAATTTCTCAATTCTGATTGAAAAGTAAAATCCTTGCTTGCTTTGAAAATTTGAGCCTGCAATTAATTCACTGTATACTCTGACTTGTCACCCCAAGTAGATTAGTTCTTGCCATCAATTTTAAGTACATTAGAGTTCTCCAGCAGCAAAATAATTCCTGTGCTAAGAAAGAGGTCGTTAGTCATGTGTATCAAGAACTAAAATGCCAAAAATGATTCTCGGGCTCTCAAACTGTTAGAAGACTGGGAAGTCACAGAAGTGTAACTTTTATTGATAGCAGGAGAAAACAGCAAGGGGGAAACAACAGAATAAAGAGGAGCATGCAAATTACAACTGTACCTGTTCATTTCCTTTATGTCCTACAGGTATCACACCCAGTGGTAATTATGACAGCATGCACACTAAATTTTTGATATAAGACTGAAAAATTGTTCTAGAATAAGATTTAGGAATCTCAAAATGCTTAGCTGAATGGTGTAGAAAATGCACATGATTAGGGAAACCCCTTTGGCTTCAAAATATATTGCTTTTATAATTGTTCCCATACAGATAATAATGCACAAAATAATGTGCCCAACTTACATTTAGAAGAGAAAAATCTCCATTCTAGAGTTCTTAGTTGGGAATCTGCTAATTGCATTTAAAAGCCTGAAACAGTGTTCTCCAGCCCCAACTGTTCCCTCTTTTAAAATACCCTTCTCCATATGAAGCTAATAGCATCATTTTCTTTATGATAATGGGATTAACTATTTATGGGCAAAGCAACAGGTCAAAAACCAATCTCCATTACCTACCAGAGGAAAACAATTCAATAACAGCTTTTAGCATCTTTTTCTGATGTGGAGGATGTAACAACATTATTTCACATAATTACTGACCTTTGTCAGAATACTATCTGCTCAAGCCCACCTGAACATAACAGAAAATAAACAAAGATAATGAGATGCAGCTATTGCCAACTCAAGGTGTGGAGGGCCAGGTGAGTTAGGAAGCCTTGGTACTGGATGCCTCGGAAAGGTGGTAACTGCTTATTGGAACACACTTCGTAAACTCACCACACATGACCACTGATTTTTTTATGTCTTTCTTCTATGCCATTAGGTGTTAGAAGGGGTGAAGATCCCACAGTGCCTGTATGCCATTTACCAAAATAATCAGTCAAGAAAGTAAATTGTTCCCTACTAGACTTTTTTTTTTAAAAAAAAAATCAATTTTCTATTAAAATAGCTGGTAAAAATAAAATAGAAATTAGATTCAATTATTCTTCCATAATTCTGGCTTCATCGTCTTTAACTTTTTTTGAAAGGCAACTTTTATTCCTAAAGTACCCTTCCTCTTACCTAGTAGGCAATTCTACCACCCAGAAACTCTGTGACCCTGACTGTGGGATCAGTACCATGAACACATGGAAAAGGGTTTTGACTTCATTCCTTATTTTTGCTTGCCTCATCAACTCCCCTCCCTCTGCCTCCTTTCCCATTCAGGCAGTAATCAACTCATCTAAAACTGTCAAGAAATTGAATGTCTCTGCCCTTTTACTTCTTCTCCTTCCTACCTTCTTTACCACCACCTTCCCCTTCTCCCATAATATGCTACTGTGAGGACTTATTTCATTTTACCCATAAGCCCATAAAACACTGGCACCTTTTTATGAGGGCTAATCCATTAAACCATCTTTACATTGCTAAATAGAGGAAGCCACCATGTTATCCAAATAAAATAAAATCTAATGCCAGCACTGAGCTCATAACCTGTCCCAGTTAAGACTATTAAAATATCAGGTCACTTATTGGGGACACCACTTGTGTAGCAATTCCTCCCACAAACTTAATCCAATTTCTATTCTATCTTGGACACAGTTATAGGAACTTGGTGGTTTAATGAGCCAAAATGAATTCAGGAACTCCTATTCTAAATTACACATGCACAACACTCATAAGACTTTGGAAATATTTTAATTACAAATCATCAAATCACACTACATATAGATTACTAAGCATATACAGTAGATTTTTTAGCTAACTGGAAGCATAAAATAGAAGCATTATTTTCCTTTTCATCATAAATGTTTTCCTCCTAGAGGATAAAAGGCAAAAAAAACCTTATTTGTTAGATTTAGAGATCGTCCCAGCATCACTGATTTTCAGTTGCTTTTGCATCAAACCTACTAAGAGCCCTTTCCATTACCTCTAAAACACACAAATGAGCCTGGTGTGGTGGCTCACACCTGTAATCCTGGTGACATGGGAGACTGGAGCAGGAGGATAGTAAGTTTGAAGACAGCCTCAGCAACTTAGGGAGATCCCGTTTCAAAAAAAATAAAAAGGACTGGGTACATACCTCAGTGGTAAAGCATCCCTGGGTTTAATCCCCAGTAGCAAATGAATGAATGGAATCCACAAAGGACAGTATAAATACCATTCAATATGGTCCATCTACCTGACTTAATAGAAAGAGACTTTGAACTCAGGAAGAGACTAAACCTTGCCCAATGACAGGCATGTGGCTAGCTTAGAGGTTGATTGTATACAACTCTGAGGTCTTTCTGCTCTCACACTTTGTATTAAATGGTAAGAGCTTTTGACTTTTCCTTTCTTAAGTTATATTGGTGCATTCTAATTACATATAACAGTGGTTATCTGTTCATGCACATAGCATAAATTGGTCAATTTCATTCCCCTATACTTTCTTCAATTCCTTTTCTACTCTCTACTCCTCCCTCCCTCAATTCCTTTTCTCTAGAGGTGAATTTTCACGTAGTCCCTTTTCTTTCCCTTTTTCTCTAGCTTACAGAGGGGAAAAAACAGGACCCTTAACTTGTGAGCCTGGCTCATCTCCCTTAGCACAATGTTCTCTAGTTCTATCCACTTTCCTGCAAATGCCATAGTTTCTCCTCCTTTATGGCTGAATAAAACTCCACTGATTCCTTGGGACAATATGACAAGATGACTATCATTCCAGGTCAAATGAAAACTTATTTCAATAGTGTTTTTTGTTCTTTATTTTTAATCTCTCATCTCTATTCCTCTCCTTTACCATTTAAAAATATTCATCTCACAGCTACACACACACCACCACCACCACAATTGATGTCTGACATGTATGTTTTTAAGTCCTCCTAATCTCTGTATGCTTGACTGTGTTGGAAATCAATGAGCCATCCCATAGAGCACACAACCATTTCATGGGTTCACACATCATCACTTCAGAAATTGCCCAAGTTTTTGTCCCTAAGATTTAATTAGCCTGGTGTGCTGATATGGATACTGATGCCACAACATAAGCCAGATCTGATAACCCAAAGGATGAGCCTTCATTACTATACCTTGTGACAAAACCTTCTTTACCTTCCCAATAGAATAATCATAATAATAGATAGTTGCTAGTCATATGGCTTTCTTTGCTGCATATCTACCAGAATTCATACTAGCCTGGATGGTCTTCCTCTTTTAAGACCAGATATATTTGATACTGACATTCAGGTACTTCCTGTGTTGCATAACAAGTGTTCTGGGGCACACAAACTAGGCAAAATTAATAGATGGCAACATTGTTGACAATCCTGTATTTAAGAAAATCAAAGTGTTGGTGACTTTGTAAGGATCTGTAAAATAGGAAAGCATGCTAAAAAGTGATACACTTAATTATCAGTGTGGGAAGCAAAATGCACACACAAACGACTGAATTTTAGAAGTTATAGAAATGAAGTAGGTTTGATTCAAAAGTGCCCCCAAATACTCCTGGGATGATCCCTGGATCTAATAAATCAGGATTTTCTGATTCCCTTCTCCAGTAAGAACGTACTCATGATGAAAAGGAAACTAATGATTCTACTTTATGCTTCCAATTAACTGGAAAACTAACTGTACTTGTTTCATAATTGGTAATGTAGTGATTTGATGATTTGCAATTAATATTTTTGTTTCCAAAGACTTGTTATGTCATTGTCAACTACAATAAATACTTAAAATATAATCATCTTGCTAATGATTATTATGTAGAAGCTACCACAAAAATTAAAAACACTAAGTCAAGAAGAGAATTGTGAATACAGAGAATTGTCAATAGAGCTATTTTCTGTTCATTCTACTGCACCAATTCAAATGCTTTCGAATAAAAATAATTCTGTATTTGAGGGATGTTTCTTTTTCTAACCTTAATTATGGTAGAAAGTACATTAGTAAGATGCAAGAGAGAAATGATAATATGTTTGTTCTGAGTATACACAGACCTGTCAGTCCTCGGTCATCATTAACATGGATTCATTAAGAGCAGGTCCCTGCTAAGTTTTTCATCATTCTACTGTTGTAGTATCATTGCTGCACATGCTTGTTATGGTTTGGATGTGAGGTGTCCCACAAAAGGTCATGTGTGAGACAATGTAGACAGGTTTAGAGAAGAAATGATTAAGTTATGAGGTTCTGAACCCAATCAGTGAATTAATCCCCTGATCAGATTAACTGAGTGATAACTAAAGGTAGGAAGGATGTGGCTGGAGGATAGGTCCTGGGGGACGGGGGGTGCCTTTGGTATATACTGTGTATCTGGTATATTGAGTCCATCTCTCTGCATCATATGTATAAAAATAAGAAAGTGGTAATTTTTTAAAAAATGCTTAAGACGTATTGCTCTGTAGTCATAGTTATTAGTCACTTCCAGAACTGGTCTTAATTTAGTCAATAAGTTATTACTCATCTCAGTGAACATATTATCTAAAAAGCCCATCAAACATTTCAGTTTTTGGTCTCTTTTTGTATTTTTCTGTCTCCTTTCCAACTCCTGAAAGCAAGGCTCATGAAGGCAAAGACCAATTCGGCCCACCTTGCCCCCACCCCAATCCAGCATCTACATCAGTTGGGCACATAGTTTAATTGGATTGTTTCCTTCATTTTCAGGCAGTTAACGATATTTACTAAAACATACTAAATTTTACACTGGATGTTCCAGAGCTATTGCACTTTGCAAGGACCAAGCTTGTTAAACTCAGATCTCTGGTATTCTGTGCAAGTAGAATCTACGTGCAGGTGAGTAGGGCTCATCAAATTCCTGTTCCCAAAGTGTATTGTATACCTGGTTCGGGCCTCTTCTGAATGCCAAGAATTCAAAATGCTTCCTTCTTTCTTACAATTGTTTCCTTTGCAACACTGCAGCAGCACACAAGATACCTACACTCCGATGATCAATTTTGGAGAAGTGATTGCCTAATTTACACTTGTCCATGCACAAGTAACAACAAACTATGAAACTGCTCCATCATCCATCCATCAAACTTCTATTATCTAGAGTGTAATTGTTATTTCACTGATGGATGACAAAGAGACTACCTGTTTTGTATGTTGTTGCTTCAACAGTCTGAGACGTGCATCCTAATTTGGCTTTTTATTTCAGAGGGTAAAGGAAAAGGAGAAGCAACTAACTTATATTAAAATCTCTCTTAGGGCCAAATACTGTTCTCTGTGTTCTACTAATATTATAAGAATTAACTCATTCGCTAATTCAGTCATTAAGTATTTATGAAGCATCTGTGATGTGCCAGGTGTTGTGCTCAGCACTTAGGGATAAAATAGTGGAAAAATCTAGGGATAAGTCTATCTACTGGGATGATACCTGCAAAGGTGGTACCATTATCCCTATTTTTCAGATAAAGAAAGACTCAAGGAGCTTAAATAACTTGTTCAAGTCATATAGTTCAGAAGTTTCAGAACAAGTATTCAGACCACCCAGGCCTTGTCTATTGTAAAACTCAATCCTTTTTTTTTTGGGGGGGGGGGTGCTATCAAGCTCTTTCTCCTTTATTTAACCATTTCTACTCAAAGTACAGTCCCTAAACCACTATCATAATTTGGAGTCTGTGAGACTGCAGATCTCGGGCCTCCATCTTTGCAGGACCTGCTCAATCAGAATCTGCATTTTTAAAAACCCTCAAGTGATTTGTGTATGTATTAAAATGTGCACAGGTCTAGGCCAAGAAGCTGATAAGTCAGGTAAGGGAAGGGGAAACAGTTTAAATATTTTGCTAAAACACCAAAAGGATTATAATTCTATCAGTGTGGTCTATATTTTGTAGGCTGAGTCTTCAAGTCTATAACTTAACTCAGTAAATAGTTTGTACCCTTACACTTAAAAAAAAAAAGGTGTAAGAAACATAACCAAGCTGCACTGAGACTCTCAGAACTCATAATACCTCCAGGAATGCATTGATTATAACATAACAATTTGCTAAGAGTCTTCAGGACATGCCAGACTTATACCACCTCTTTCCTTGTTGAAGTAAATCCTCTCAATTAGAATGACCTCATGTTTTCTCTAAGCTGCCCTGCTCTCCTATATGTTCTTCAAGACACAAGTTAACCACTGCTCCTCAGGATTTCACTCAAATTATTGAATGGCTCTTACAATTGAAGAAAGGTCATTCGTAGGAAGCCTGAGCTCTTGAAAGATGTCAGTCACTTGAAAAATTCTCTCTGAAAGATTTTATTTCTGACCCCTGTTCTACAACATTGGATAACCTCTTTCTATCTCCTTCCTCAGGATCTGAACTGCTGGATATAGGCTACTGAACTACTTCCTCTGACTTTAATTTTGGCAGATACAAATCTCAGGTACTGGAGTTCAGAAGGTATCTTGCAAGACTTCCCACATAATTGTTCTAGCACTTTTCTGTATCCACTTCTAACTTCATATCTAAAAACAACTAACCAACTAGCCAACCAATAAAAAAACCTTCCCGAGTGCTTTCTGAATCTTGGTCCTAAGACAAGTCTTCCTCCCTCTTCAATGTTAGAAGTCACCAATAAACTGAATTACCATGTCTAATAACCACTTTGGGTATGTTATGATATTTTAAAGTATTAGTCTTCCCACAAAATTCCTTCCTTGTAATCCCAAGGACTTTTTTTCTAGAATGCATAAGTCACCCTTAGAGAAAAGGGAAAAAAAAAAATTTCTCTGCTAAATTCAAAAGCCACTCTTTGAAATACACAAATCATTTGTACAAATGAACTGGGAAAGGAGGAGGAGGAGGATTATATAAACCAAAAGGTGTGAGCCTCAGAAACCAGAACCATCCTTTAAAGCAAGTTTCATCTATGGAAGTAGCATGGGATATGATGATACTACATCATCCAGACATATAGACACCTACCATATTGGCCACTCTAGGGAGATGCTCCTCTTTGATACCACTGAGGATCATCTCCCCAGAGTGGCCAATATGGTAGGTGTCTATTGACATCCACTCAAAGAAGATACATGTTTGGGTACTAAGACTTTGTTCCTAATCCCATCTGTCCCACTACATAGACAGTTCTTTGTTTAATGATGAGGATGATCAGCAATGTCTGGAGAGTGGAGTTCTTGAACACCTGAAGGAAAAGTGTGCCTGGTGTGAAAATTCCTCCACTTGACCAACTAGAACTACATGGAACCAGCTCAAGAGTCCCCCTTAAATCAGGACAGTGTTGGAATTCACATCCATGTTTTATTTTCTCAGATTGAACATAACTTTATTAGCAACTGACTCTCTGTAAAGCATTCACTTTTCATGATGGATCTTTATAAAACCAATAATTATTCCTCTCCAACTAAGGGTTCCTTTTAAAGCACTAGCTGCTTTTGCTTCCCCTGACACCATATACAACTACTCGCAGGGCATCCGTCCATGGTCTTCCCTCGATGGCTCATCTCCTTGAGGTCCCTTTTCCTCATACCTTCCTTTTAACCAATAGGGCACTATTTCTCCAAATTACCCATTTCATGATATCTTGTTCCAATTTCCCTTTTCCTTTCCTTTTGTGTTTCTATAATGATACTTAATTGATTCCAACATGAAATTTGAATAGTTTCGGGTTACAGACCTAAAGAATGAAGAAAGTAGGTGGATAAACAAGCATGAATGCTATACTGAAAAAGCTTATGCTTTAGAAAGAGACCTCAACCATACCAACCGCATGGCAAATTCAAACAGGCTGAGTATTCTCTGGTAAGATTAGAAAATCGGAGTAATTAACTGGGCAGTGTAGTAAAATAAATAAATTCCAGCAATTGAGGGGGGAAAAATAGTTTTTTTTATGACTAAAGGCATCCAGGTTTCCAGTCTACATTGATCAAATTGATGAGAAAATTGCTGAATTCTCTGTTTCACATTTCCCAGTAAACAGAGTGAAAAACGTCTAGATGACTGAACAATTTCATAAAGTGACTCGAGAATTATACATTACATTCAGGCCTTAATACCATTTATATCCGTGCAAATGCGTCACATGTGGCATCCAGAAGAGAGGAGTCTGCATTTGCCTAATGACCTCTGCCAGCAGTCACCCTGTAGGGTAGCACTTCAAGAGGGAAAGATAAATGTAACCCCTCTCTTTCAGCAGCTGAAGGCTGGGTTAGGCTGTCCTGGGGGATTTTCCAATGTACTATACAGCAAAAATTTTAAAGATGAATTTGTATCCATTCAAGGTCATATGCCTAGATTTTCTCAAATGTTTGGTCACTATCTAGACAGGGGATTCGATTTTTTTTTTCTTCTGTAAAGGGCCAAATAGTTAATACCTTAAGTTTCATGGGACACATAATACCAATCACAACTACTCAACTAGGCTGTTCTAAGAGGAAAATTAACCACAGATGAAAAGTGAATGGGCATCGCTATGTTCTAATAAAAGTTCATTTATAAAATAAAGTTGGGGTAAAGGATCAGTGGGATTTGACTTATGGATCATAGTTTGCTAATTTCTGGTTCAGACTCGGGGGTATAAATCTCCGCACTCCACAAAGCTAGAAAAATAGTCAATTAACCACCCATCATCAACACCATGTTCATTGTCATCATAATTATCACTTCCATTTTATAAATGAGGAAATAAGAGGTAAATTGCTTTGTTTGTTAAATATTTGGACTAGGACTCATGATTTTTTTTTTCCTCAAGTCCTATTTTCTTTCTAACAGAGCACAGATTTAGGTATACCAAAATAAAATAGTCTGATAGCATTTCAATACCAGAGTACAAGAAATTGCAAAATTAAATTTAGAGGATTAGAATGAAAGGAGTCCAAATTAAATATGCACAACAGTGCTAGTTCATTGGGAAAAAAAAAAAAAAGGAAACAACTGTCAATAGATATTCCCACCTGTCTTCTATGAACTGCATTTGTTATCTCAGCTCCTTTTATTGCCTGAAATATATCACTGAAATTGACAGTTACAATTCATAAATAAAACTATGAGTGATAAACACAGAACATTAGTGACACAAAGGGTGAGCTTTTTGAACGCCTACTTCCCAAGTTTAGAACTGGACTTCTTATTTGAGTCCACCTGAGCCCACAACAGGTAAAGATAATTCAGAACACCTGGAGGAAGCAGGGGGGAAAAAAAAATCTCAGAATCCTTGAAGTGCTATTATTTTGTTATCTAAGTGCGTTGTATATTTGAGTATATTCATTGGTGTAAAAGTAAAATATCCAAGAGAATATTTTTACTCAATTGATTTTCAAATACATGTTTTTCATAAAATATAATTTGTGTCATGAGACATATGTATTAAAACAGAAACATTTTTCTTTGCTCCAAAGTATTTTACTCAAACTCCCTCAAAGTTTTTTCACTAATTACTACTGGTTATTCTAACAGTATCTGGACTTACCAAACACTTAAATTTTGACGTTGTTCTATGCAAAATGAGTGGATGGGCAAAAAGCAAATATACTTCTTGAATTCTTAAGCCACACTAGATTTACCAGTGTTCAAATATAAATAATATTTTCAAACAGCAAAGAAACTGTTTCCCTCATTTCCTTTTCTTTCATGCACTTGGTAGATATAGCTGGTTCACCCTGTTCTGTCTTCCCCCTACTTCTTGTATGTACAGGGAACCCTGCTTCCTAGCTGCCTTGTCAGTTGGGACCATGTGACCAGTTCTAGCCAATGAATCATTAGCAAAAGCTCCATCAGTTCTGAGCTAAGGCACTGGAAAGCCGCTACAGGGCCCTTCCCTCTCTCTTCTGCCCAGTTTTGGCAAAAGTAAATGAGGTCATGTTGGCACAGTATTAGTACATACCAAAGCTGCTTGAATTACTGAGTTATCAAAGAGACGAAATCTTCCTCAGGCACCTCCTGGACCCCCACCCAGAGCCAGCTTCATGGGCATATGGCCTATGTGATCACCCAAGACCTTGTGCTCAAAAGGGCTCTGTGCTTTGTTTAATGCTCTTCTGTCACAACCTTGACTTTTTTTCTTTTTTAATGAAAAGGGGCCCCATAGTTTCATTTTGTATCAGGCTTCAAAAATTTAAACTAATCCCAAACAGAACAGGCTTTGAAGGAATTTTGAATGAGTTTGTTAAGCCAATGAGATTTTAGGGCTGTTTATCTCTGCATTGTATAGTTATCCTATCCTGACTAATATAACCATGAAACCTTTTGAGACTCAGTAAGTATAACCCTGCACTGAAATGCTTCTCTGAATATCCTTCCTTCCCACTCAGACAGGTACCTTCACTGGGTGTTTTCCACAGCACTATTATCTGCTGGTTATTTGCTGAACTGTCATCCTGGGGTAGGTACTATGGATACATTCCTGCTATACAGATTCCAACTTTCTGATATAACTTCCTATGTGGCAGAGACTGGAAAGTTAAAAAAAAATTCCCAGATTTCTTTGCAGTTTAGAGGATATGGTCTACAGTTTGCTAAGTATGCACACCTATGAGACATTTGGAATGAAAAAGTAGGCAATATGAGGTCACAGACGTACTTGAGGAGATTGATTCTTCTTGCACGTTTTCAAGAGATTTCTTCTTTTGCAGCTCTGGCAGATGGTCCTGCCTTGTCTTAAACCAGTAGCAGAGGAACTTTCCTGAGAGTAAGCCTGCGGCTGGTGATTTACCCCAGCTGCTCTCATACTTTCATGTGTAACGTTTAAACCTGGGATCCTGGGCCTTTTTAGGTACTTAATGCCTCCAAATAAACATGTGTGCATGCGTGTGTGTGCGCGCACACATATTCAGAGTGGACTGTTTACAATGAAAATAATAAAACTTATGTTCTACACCCACTAAAGTATATGGTCTTTGAGTGCAAGGAATGAATTTTAAATTTAAAAATTACCTTTCCCTCCTACTACCTAGCCACTTAAGACTACTTTGGGGCTTTGGTACATAATAATAGCTCAAAATATATTTCAGGAAGACAAGCAGGAAGTATAGTAGGTAAGTTTATGGTTAAACTTATGTGTTAATTTGGGCTAAGGGAAGCCCATGAAGCTAGTAAAACATTACTGGGCATATATTTGGGGGTGTTTCTAGAAGAGATAAGCATCTGTCCTCTAAGTAAAGACAATCATCTTTACTAATGTGGGCGATCATCCTCCAATCCACTGAGGCAGAGAAGGAGTGAATTTGCTTTCTCTGGTGAGTTGGGACAGTTATCTTCTCAGACATCAGCGCTCTTTATTCTAATGCCTTTTGACTTGCTATAAGACTCATATCATTAGCTCCCCTGGTTCTCAGGCCTTCATACTGGATTGGAACTATACCACCAGCTTTCCTGGGTCTCCAACTTACAGAGGAAAGACTATGGGATTCCTTGAACTATATAATTGAAACCACTTATAAAAAGTCTCTCCCTCCTTCTCTATGTTATATATAAACATATTTATTCATTATGTATGTATGTATATGTATTTATAAACACACATAATCTATTGGATAAGATATATATATATATATCCTATATATGTATATCCTTTTGCTTCTATATTTCTGGAGAAACCTAATACAGAATGGAATCATACATAGAATTATAATA